AGTTTCAACACTATTTTAAGTCACACTGATTCTCACTATTCAGAGGAGGCCTAAAGAACAATTCTTTGCAGTGTAATACTTGTCGTTTTTATGTTCAATAGAGCGGGCTATTTATGGGCAGTCCACGCCGTTTTTATTGTGAAATTCATAATCTTCAATATGATTTTTAGTCTGCTTCATGCAGAGGATAAGCCAGAAACATTTTCTTATAAGCCGAACCAAAATGTTTAAATGTGATCTTTAAACGCTATTGTATTCTACCCAAGCGACTGTAAAATCTTTCTGTGAATTCACCCAAATAAATTGGGCAGAGTTTAATCCCCCAGGTCGGCTTCCCAAAGACCAACATGCTAACCTCGTTGTTTCCTCCAGTTAGATCTTTATTTCGATCTTCATTCCAATATGTCTCTACTTTTTCGAAAATAATGATTAACTTTTAATCTTTTATATGTAGGAACTTGGAACAGTTTATGTACGGACTAAATGCAACAATTGGCAATGGGTACTCCTGGCTACCAACACAAATCAAACTATATTTCAATATTTCCTCAGCTGTCTTGAATGAGGAACATAACGCGTAGCTAGGAGGGGGGGGCAACAAGGAGCCCGATGACCCACCTCGTTGATGCGAGAGACAAAAAATTAAGAGAGAAGGGCCCTGAGATGGAATTGGTACTATATACGACTATTTCACCTACACCTTAAATAATGAACCAAGAAATGCGGCACAAATTCCATTTTGATGCACATATTTTCAAAATTACGCGCTACACTGTGGGAGGGAAACACCCTGCCCCCGTTGGAGCAAATAGCTTCATCACTGTTGTTGGTCGGCTTAACGTACGTTTTCTCCCCTCCCTGAAAAAACACTGCCTTCATAGCACCATTTTCTAGCTGGAGTACTACGCTAAGGGTCGCACCAACTGGTCCGTGTGTAACGTCAGAGCCTTCAGGCGGCACACAGCGCAGGGGGCCATCGTTCCAAACGTTGATCGGATGCAGTAGTCGAAAAAAAATACAAAGCAGAGGGAGGGGGGTTATGAAGGGATTAGCATATGCCACTTCTGCATGATTAAGTTACCCTAAACTGAATTTTAGTCGTGCAGAAATGCCCATTTTCATGCACGAATTTTTCAAAAATCTCCCTACCGTGGGTGGGGGGGGGGATACCCCTCCCACACCCTACCCCCCTTGGTCGCTTCGCTCCCTCGCCTTGGACCCCCCTGTTTCAAATTGCTGGCTACGCCACTGAATAGCGAGAACATAGCGAAGCGTTAGTGAAACGCGTTGTTCGGTAAAGTTGTTCGGTAAGTTGTTCGGTATGCCTTCGTTCGCTATTTAGTGAACGAACAACTTTCGTCGGTTAACGAATAACTTTTAGCGAACGTTAGTAAAACGCGGCCCTGCTCGGGTGCAGCCTGTGGCAGCGAATTTCATTGATATCGGACATTCGTGAAATTGTGTGTCCTACCTTCTCACACCTTCGGTGCTCGCATTGGGGGTTCGTGTTGGATATAAGGGACCTGTGCCCACGGGTAGGTTGTTCCAGATTGGAGTCATCCGGGGAAAAAAGGAGAATTTGAATGCGTTTATCACTAATAGTAATAAGCAACTAATATCATAGGGCTATGGAGAAAGCTTACCTCGTAACTATGGACTGTTTAAAGTCTCTCAATACCGAGTACAATACAGCTGGTAATTCACTAATTAGTCAAAACAATTCTTATATTAAGTTTAACTTTAACAACAACAAAACTGACGCCATTTTAGAAAGTAGTAAAAGCGCCATCTCTAGGGTGATAAATGAACTATATATGCATTTTTTAGTCAAAACTTTCACCAGTTTATTTAAATGCTCTGCTTTTACTTTCACCAAAGTACAAAATGTGGATATACGGATTAATGCGCGTTTTTACAGTCGCTCTGTTTTCCCTCTCCCCCTCTCTCGCCTTCTCTTTTCTTGTTTTCTTAGGACAAAATGCAAATGTTTCGTAAGGGTACAACACAGGAAGGAGGGGAGTGATGTAGAGAGGAGAGAAGGGAGAGGGAGGAGGGAGGTAGAGAGGAGAGTAGGGAGAGGGAGGAGGGAGATAGAGAGGCGAGTAGAGAGGAGAGAAGGGAGAGGGAGGAGGGAGGTAGAGAGTAGGGAGAGGGAGGAGTGAGGTAGAGAGGAGAGAAGGGAGAGGGAGGAGTGAGGTAGAGAGGCGAGAAGGGAGAGGGAAGAGAGAGGTAGAGAGGAGAGAAGGGAGAGGGAGGGGGGAGGTAAAGAGGAGAGAAGGAAGAGGGAGGAGGGAGGTAGAGAGTAGGGAGAGAGAGGAGTGAGGTAGAGAGTAGAGTAGAGAGAGGGAGGAGTGAGGTAGAGAGGAGAGAAGGGAGAGGGAGGAGTGAGGTAGAGAGGCGAGAAGGGAGAGGGAAGAGGGAGGTAAAGAGGAGAGAAGGAAGAGGGAGGAGAGAGGTAAAGAGGAGAGAAGGAAGAGTGAGGTAGAGAGTAGAGTAGAGAGAGGGAGGAGTGAGGTAGAGAGGGAGAGTAGGGAGAGGAGAGAAGGGAGAGGGAGAGTAGGGAGAGGAGAGAAGGGAGAGGGAAGAGTGAGGTAGAGAGGAGAGAATGGAGAAGGAGGAGGGAGGTAGAGAGTAGGGAGAGGGAGGAGTGAGGTAGAGAGGAGAGTAGAGAGAGGGTGGGATGAGGTAGAGAGGAGAGAAGGGAGAGGGAGGAGGGAGGTAGACAGGAGTAGGGAGAGGGAGGAGTGAGGTAGAGAGAAGAGTAGGGAGAAAGAG